AAACGTATTTGCTCTGTATCTTTCTGCAGTCTGTGCAGATTATTAGTAATTCACACATTAACGATTTCTGTCAAATCGACCCTGGATTTGTAATTTTTAGACAGGAAAAATAGACAATAAAAATGTTAAAACTGGGATGGGGCACTGGGATCGGAACAAATTAAGGCTGGGAGAGAAAGATCCATACCCAACCATATCCATCTACTTTTCCCACCTATTCCCACCGCCCCCTCATTTCGGGGGCCTCTAAATAACAACACGCTTCAGCAACAGTGGAAACCTCTGTTTCTTTTCTTGCTTTATACTAACTCCCAATATAAGCCAAAGTAACATGTGTTCTGGACTCACTCGCCTGTAAAATGTCCTGACGGATACAAAGTGATGAGATTGACAACAGTACGTAATGAGAGTGAAACCCAGAGGAACCTACGTTTTAATTTGTCCGTAACGGCTTAAACCAAGCCTTACCAGGAGCGTTTCTCTTCTCGGATTACTAGATTAGTAAAAACGGCTTCAAAATTAATTAATTTATGCCTACGCGAACCAACAGGCACAGTGTCTCCCATGATATTTTTTTATCTCTCTTTCTGTATTGAAATTAACATCATGTGTTCCAAAAATCGCCGAGTTTTTTTCCTTCGTGTCTTAGATTTATATAGAAATTTGTAACGGGGTTGAGCCACGGTCAAAAAGGGATGGGGGGGGGGGGAAGTTTGTCTGCTTCAAAGTATCGTTTACGATCAAATGGAAGAAACATCGTCAAAGGGATTAACGGAAGCTACATTCAAAGAACATGGGATTATCTCTCTTGCAGTATTGAAATTAATATCATGTGTTCCAAAAATCGCCGATTTTTTTCCCTCGTGTCTTAGATATTAGCGAACTTTCGGTGCTTGCCAGTACTTTCCTAGCCCATGACGATGAGCTGGACAAACTGTCATTTTTTCTATCTGTTCCTCAGTGATCTCCAACAAACCAGCCCTTGCTAATATCAGGTTCTCTCAGATAAACTTTCCCTTAAAAGGTGGTGTTTAATTAGATGCGCATGAATATCAGAATTACACCAATCAAAGAAAAGTATTAAATCTGTATCTCCTCGACTACTTTCACATTTGCCTCCCGTAATGCTTGAAAACGATCACAACGCGGCCATTCTTCAAAGCAAATAATGCGAATCTTCTCCATGAGAATTTTGATTATCCCCGTCGCAATGTAAATATTTCCGAGTTGTTGAGTATAAAATTTGCATATTACATCATTTGAAATTAGCTCAATTGACATAAAAGCAAACAAACAGACAACAAAAAAATCAAAAAAAGAAAAAAGAAAAAAAAATGTATGTATTCATTATAGTAACACTTTCGGTGCATAGTAAGAAAACAGTTTCCAGCATATTTTGGGTGCAGTTGGCTTTAGTGGCATGCTACACCCCTTTTATAATTGTGTCGATATTGAGACATACAGTACTTAGTGGACCAGCAGTTCATGCTCTGTGGCTCTTCACGAAAACTTTAGTTCATCTGAACTCATCTCTGAATCCCTTTCTCTACTGTTGGAAAATCACAGAAGTGAGAAAGGCAGTAAAGGACACAACCAGGGCGTTTTATTATTGTTTGTGATTCAAGGTCGCCTTTATTTATGTGGAAAAACTTCCGTGTTCATATTAATCAATAAGGAATCATTGAATACTGACAAGTAATTACGCTTACAGAGTCGAAATTAAACAAAAACTAAATTCGAACGGCACACTCCAACGAGACACAAGGGAATTTAATGCGGCCTTTTCTCAAAAAATTCCTTCAATTTCTGTTGAGCAATTTACGGTACAAATGTCCAAATTGAACGGAATTGGAACGACTCACATGCGGCCCCTTTAGTCCTCTTGCTGGCGGCGCTTTTAAACAAGGAAGGTTGTTATTTTCTTTTCCTTTTTGGCCGCCTCAGTTATTGCTGACTTCTCTATTTATACAGTCGCAGTGAACCACTGCTTTCTTTTGCATTTTTGGCCTCTTTCAGCTGACTTTCCCCCCCACAATCAGGAGGAAAAACCTCAAGATGAATATGTCTAACCTTTATTTTAAAATGCGTCATGCTTGAATATCAAATAAGACCACATTAAACATCTCACAAATTGAGGACGCCACATAAATGGCTGATTGGTAATTAAATGGCTTATATTTTGGTATTATTAAATTGGAGAATAATAAAAAACGAGATTTAGCTAAACTTTAAGTTCTCTTGAACATTAACTTTATGATGAAAACACCAGCGGTCGTCTCAGCCCTTATCAATGTTCAACAAATTTTTTTTTCCACAAACAGTTCACATCTGCATCCAAAAACAAAGCGTAAAATGTGTAATGATGTTATACGAATAAATCCTTCACACGAGCTCTAGAATATACTGTAGGCCATTTTGGCAATAGTCTTGGTTTTAAGGGCGTGATGAATGACTCAATAGCTTAGTCATTAAAACCGGCTACGCTCTCACAGAAAGGCACAATCTGTCTCCTCCTGACGGTTTTTAAGAAGTATTACGTGCTTAGTTATCGCTATCTGTTATAGTATTTAGCTAGTAACGGGCAAATTGGGTCATTAGGCTTTCAAATACTTTATTCTAAGTCGCATAAATAAACCGTTTTTGGTTGACAGATATGTCAGCGTGCTTGTTTTGATAACACCAAGGGTAACTATACATGATTATTGACACACTTCAGTTGTTGTTGTACAAGTGCTGGTGTTAGTGGCCAGCTAAGACCTTTCAAGTTTATATATCTTTCCTTCATTGAAATTAATTTTACAAGATATGGATAGAAAAATGATCCATTTTCCAATATTGGCTTCTCGGAAATGTTTGCATTATCACGATAAATTGCGATGCCAATCACCCTATTGAAAGTTTATCAAATGATTATTTCTTAACTCTTCACCAAGGTAGAGTGAACTAGTGGTGGATATTTACCAAGCTGCCAAGCGGAGATGTAAATATCTACCCCTAACCACCGGCACTTAGATGAATATTTGCTTTTGTATATAATTTAATACTGTGAGATAAAATAATACAAAAAGATGATTTTTAATAATTTATTCCTGTGATAATCAAGACATTTTTGGGCGCAAATCCCCTGGAGGTGAATGGAGAACGATGTGCGGAGTAACGTTTTAGTGACTACTTTTGGGTTCCTTATATCTATATATGGATCGAAATATGTCAGATTTTCGGGAGAATCAAATGAAAAAAAAATTTAATTTAATTTCGTGTGCAGAAATTTTAAAACCCTATCTAAACGATAAATACTTCCTTATAAGCATATTGAACAGACAAAGAGATAAATACTGAAAAAAAGGCAAAAACCAAAATTTTTGAGATCGACGTCAATGTCCCCACCGATCTTTTGATCGACGATCGTGGTTTTATTTCACTTTCATTTAAAGGATACTTGCTCTCTCAGTAAAAAATTGTTGTCTTAACCCAGCCTTGAACTGGGAGAGAAATCCGAAGTTTAGTATCATCCAATAATATTCAGTAAAACAAGATTAAGGGGCATATGAAAAGTCATTTACATAAATTCTGAACAAAACAAGTCATGGAACAACCGCTTGTGGCGCTCTGGATTCAAAGACTAAAGAGTCAGGGACTCAGAATTAATGAGCGCTACTTGTTTTCTATCAGATGGATTAATGATGAACTAAGCCACACCGAAATTCCCTCGTTTATTTTGTCAAAGGCCCTTCTTATGTCAAAAAACACAACAACGGACAGTAAGAAAATAACTGCCGTTGCCTATTGCCTTCTCACGATGAAAGTTGAAGCAATGGGTTAGGCAATGTCAGCGTTATATGTAAGTGCTCGTGAAAAAAACAAAATTGGAAAATGACTGAATGAGAATCCATTATTATATTAGCTCGTTTGTGTTTCTCGAAAACGCCATCTATTGCTTGATTAAACTCGACATATTTGCTGACATAGTGCACCAGGAAGGCACGATTAGTATCAAAAATATTCAAACACAATATCCCGAGACGCCAAAATGCCTGAAACTGTGGAGATAAAAAGTAAAAAATAATGCTTCCTTGGCACTTGGAATATCTGCCTTAGGCCAACTTCTGCACTAAGAATCATCACAATGAGGTCATTTATGTTTCAAACTTCTAAAACACTTTTCTCAGACAATGATTAGAAGCAGTGATCTGAAATAACAACATTCCAGACTAATCAGCTTAATACCGCCTACCTAATCAACAAATTGGAATAGAGAACTCGATTGAAAAGGCCGGTGAGTCAGTAGCTGTCTACAAAAAGGATAAAATGTATTGGGTTGATATGTTTTGAAAATATGCTACTCCTGGTTGCTAAGCGAGCGTATGGATTTTCGTCAATCTTACTCTTTGAAGTAGGCAAGATGTCATTTTAGTTTATGGTATCCTTCAAATCTACAGTTAGATTCAGACCAGCAATTTTACCTCAATGAATGGAGTAAACGAAACGAGTTTAGCTTATATAGGTTTATTGAAGCATTTAGGGAGTGCTTTACCACAAGTAAATTATTCTTAATTAGATTAGGAAATGTTACTTATACTAGGAACAACACTCACAAACTTACGCAGCATTTCTGACTTGATCAGTTATAAAAATTATCTTAACAGCAATTTCTTTTTTTTTTTCTTTTTTTTTGTCTCTATCAGCCTACAGTCAATAACATCAACAAAGCACTGACAAGTGCACCAAGTGAATAAATGGTAAACTAAGAAATGCAAAAGTGAAGTAAATAAACAAGTTTTTTCTTTGAAGGAAATTCCACTTAACCTCCATTTATAAACTATGAAAATGGTTATTATCACTACCAAAGCATTACTAAAGTAAAAGTACGAAAAAACCTACTTCTTAAAATCGAAAACTATGAAATATTGAGGCTGAAATTCTCGAAATATAAACTACAAATTACCACAGAGAGTTATAAGACTACAACCTTAGAGGTTCAGCAATTCTGCTATTAAGCCTCAGTCCTGCACAAGAGGAGTTGCTTCAGATGACTCCTCGTCTTCGTCACCTCCAGTTTCGTCTATATCCGCAGCAGTAAGTTGATTACCATCATACTCTTGTACGCCAGCGTCTCCGTCAAAAAGGTCCATAGCATCACTTCGGTCGTCCATATAGTTTCCAAGATCGTCTTGTTCATCCTTTGTGTACTGTAGTTGGCAAGTCTTAGGTTCTTCTTCTACTGCCTCCTTTTCAGATTGAACTGCCACAGCACCTTCATAACCAACGGTATTTTCAGTTCCACTTGTTACACCTTCTTCGTCATCAGTTTGAATTTCTGGAGGGAAGACGGAATCAGTGAGGCCTTCTTTTTCGATCAGAGGATTGTATTCTAAAGAATCAAGATCTTCTTCTTCGATCACACAAGGGAATGGTGAGGCACCGGGTTTGTTCACCTCATTTGCGGAGCGTGCGAAAGAGGTAGGATCTTCTTTTTCAGTAACAGAAAGGCATTCTGTGGCTTCCAAATCTTCTTCCCCAGGTACAGGGGAGCATGCTGAGTTATTGGAATCTTCTTCCTCAACCACAAGGGGGTATGCTAAAGAATCAGAATTTTCTTGGTCAGTCACAAGGGGACATGCTGAAGCAGCGAGACTGTCTTCGTCCATCTCCAGGGAGGATGGTAAAGGATCAATTTCTTCTTCCTCAATCGCAAGAGGGCACTCGGAGTCATCAACATCTTCTTCCTCGTTCTCGCTAAGGTATGGTAAAGTATCACTCTCCAAAGGGTACGCTTGGGCATCCATATCTTTCTTATCACTCTCAAAAGGGTATGCTGTACAACCGTCTTCTTCTACTCTGATTCCGAGAAGGAAAGCTGTAGCACCATAGTCAATTCCAACCATAGAGGGATATGCCGTAGCACCGTGCTTACCCACTTCACGGGCGAGATTTCCTGCAGCTGCCCCTTTGTCTTGTAAGTTAATAGCGAAGGGGAAAGCTGTAGCACCATCGTCAATTGCAACCACAAAGGGATGTGCAGCAGCACCGTGCTTACCCACTTCATGGGCGAGATTTGCTGCAGCTGCCCCTTTCTCTGGTACGTTAATAGCGAAAGGGAAAGCTTGAGCACCATCGTTTATTGCAATCACAAAGGGATGTGCCGTAGCACCGTGTTCAGCCACTTCACGGTCGGGATCTGTTGCAGGTGCTCCTTCGTCTTCTACGTTAATTCCAAGAGGGAGAGATGTAGCATCATCGTCCACTGCAACCAGAAAGGGATGTGCCGTAGCACCTTGTTCACCCACTTCACTGATGAGATTTGCTGTAGCTGCTCCTAGCTCGTCCGGTCCTGCATCTTCTGGGTTTGCAACAGCTCCACGGTCATCGACAAAGTTGTACTTATCCTGATCATACTTGCCATCGTCAAAGATATCTACATATGTCTATGAAAAAGATTAGAAGGTAATCAAGAACTGTATGAGTTAAAAAAATCTTGAACGAATGAATTTCAAAAATTCAACAAAGAAATTCCAAAAAAGAGTCACTAAAAAGGAAAAAAAGAGCGGATCAGATATCAATCACAAATACAAGAACCATTAGTACTTGCATGAATTGATAAGAATAAAAGTCAGGTAACGTCTTCCTTTTTGTCAAAGTTCTCCAAAAGTGTTATTTTAAGATCTATTCCGTTCTTTCTTGTGTGTAGACAACAGAGGGAAATAAGGATGATCCAGATTGACATAACGTAACCACACTTGCATATGTTTAAAAGTAACATTGGTTCATGATGAAACTGAATTCACAAATTGTTAGCGGCTGGGTAGTTAATGCGTTTTGACATCACATTGACGTGAAAAGAAATTCGCAATTGACTTGGTAGGATACCGATTTCAATTTCTGCAGTATATCCTGAATTAGACGCTGTATGGCAAACCTTTGTTTTAATATATGTATCCATTGTTTGGTAGAGCTTCACAAAGTCTGGCCGGCTGGCGCTTTCGTATTTCCAGCAGTTTAACATTACCGCGTATCTATAGAAAAACGCAGGAACATATTGCAAGTAGCAAAGTTGAGAAACCACAAATAGTTACAAAAATAACTGAAATGATAAGTTTATCTCATTACATTGCAGCTCAAACGAATTCTGACAAGATAAAATTAATATCTTAGGAAGGCTACTTATTCAGAGCGAATGTATCAAAAACACCTGACCACAGCAGCAATCGATGTTGCTTTTGACTTATACAACATTCCACACAGAGGAAGCAACACTTACAAACTGTCGTCGATATGTTCAGGCTTTGGTAGACGATAACCTTCTTCGATTTTTTTCATTGTCGTGGATTGAGACCATCCTTCGTAAGGAATGCCTCCTGTGGAAAAATAATGTTTTTTTCTGTTGGCCAAAAAAGCACACTTTTTTTGTTGTAATCACTTTCATTCCTCTCAGCGCGATCGAAATGATTCTTCTGTCAAAACGACAATTAATTGCTGAAATACACTTCGGTTTTACATCAGATGAAAGAGCACTGTAAAAAAACAAATTTAAGTGTAGCGATGGATTTAAGGTTTTTCAATAATGTACTAAATACTTTCAGTTCTACTTAAACTTAAGCTTTATTTCAAGTTACTATGCATCGTCATAATTTTATTTATCAGCGACATTGAGAGTTGCTTCTACTTCTCTATTGTACAATGCTCTTTTGTCCGCTCGGCATCACT